ACGGGCAGGCGGCGGCGGCGGCGGAGTCAGGCTCAATGAGACGGTGCTCCATATTTCCGGGCTCGGTCTCCCGGGCGCTGCCGCGGCCGCACTTCCATCTTGATGCGCCCGGCGTTGTGGCCGCCGATGGTGACGTCCATGAAGACGACCGGGTTGCCGTTCTGGAGCCCGGGGATCATCCCGACGCCCGACATCGAGCCGAGGGAGCTGTCGACTGAAGCGGGCGCGTCGAGGGTCGATAACAAAAAAAAATATTGGTTGGCACGCGCCGGGAAATTCTTTTCTCGCGGAGCTCGGAGAGCTCGCGCTGCGGCGGAGGAGGGATGGCAGTGCTCAAGACAGTCGGCGTCGGCGTTTTCGCGATGCTCGCCTTCTACCTCACCTGGTGGATGTGCGTCACGCTCGCCACCAGCTCCCTCCTCTACCTCACATCGCTCGACGCGACGCCGCTGTCCGCAGCGATCTGGGGCGGAGCCGTGCTGCTGCTCGCTGCGGTGCTCTACTACATCTTCTACCCAGAGGGGCAGAAGCTGCGGTCGGACGTGCTCAAGGCGCCCGGGAGCAAAACGCCGCCCGCCGCCGCCCGCGAGAGGCCGCCTGCCTGGCAGACCGCGCGAGAGAGAGCCAAGCTGGAGGTGATCGGCGCGGGCGGCGCGGTGCCGGCCGACGCTGCGGCGCTGACCGACTGGAGCGAGCGCGACGTGCCGGGGGCCGTGCTGCGCTACAAGGGATGACGGCGAAGTGCTCCCGCACCTCTTTTTCCGTCATCAAACCGGAGAGCCGAGCCGACGCGACAGCTACGTCAGTCAGCGCACGCAATCCTTCAGCATGTCGTGTGCGGTATGTGCTGCGTCGCCCCACAATTAGTGTATCTTCTCAATCCGGTAAGAAAGAGTACCTTCTGGTTCAGAGTCGAAGCTGGCAGGTCGACTGGCAGGGAGGATGTCGCTTGTCGGTATACCTTTTAGACCGCTTTACTGATTATACTCTCTCTCTCTTTCTCTCTCGCCCTCTCCAAAGTCCAATATTGTCGCGCGCGCGGGCCGCGGCCGCTGGCGCGTGGCGGGACCAAGTGCGGGACTCGAGGCCGCAAAACACACCTCGCGGACGTCCACGCCGACGGTGGACTCCTTACTTCTGTGCTATGGCCCCCTGCAGCCAGCCACCACGCGCCACAGCAGCCGACTCGCGACTCCGTTCTGAGTATGCCGTTCTGAGGGAGCGCACGCCTCTAGAGTCGCGAGGCTTCGTCGAGAGCAATC